AGGGCTGGCTTCAAACTGAGATCCTCAGATCTCAGCCTCCTGACTAGCTAAGATTGCGGGTGTGAGTCACAGTGCTCAGCTTCCCCTTCTCCTCTTCATAGGAACCATCTGATCTTCAGAGGGATGGCTCCCAGGGCCCTTGCATTCAAATCAATAGGCAATGAATAAAAAAAATTTGCTCCATTTGTCTCAGTCGAGGAGGAGGAGGAGGAGGGGGGGGGGGAGAGGAGGAGGAGGAGGAGGAGGAGGAGGAAGAGGAGGAGGAAGAGGAAGAGGAGGAGGAGGAGGCGGCAGCAAGCTTCTTCATGGCTGAATAGCAGTGTGTATCAGCAGAGGAGATGATAGAAGGAGATAAGCCAAAAAATCCCTCTGGGCTAAAGTTCTAGACAAGACTGTCCTAAAAAAAAAAGCGAGAGGAGAATCCTAGATAGCATTCATTCACTCCAGCTTTGTCTCTACAGCCAGCCCAACCACGATGGATGAAGTGTGTGGAGAAAACGGGAACTTTCTTTGAGCCTACGCTGGCAGCCTTATTTGTTCGTGAGGCGTTTGGCCAGAGAATGCAAAGTGCTGTATGTGAGAACTCTTCCCTCCCCATGCCCCTCTACCCTTCCCACCACACACCTTGACCGGGCTCTATGGCCTGGCCCTTCAGTGGCATGCATGGCTGGGAATCTGGCAGTAGGGAACGTCTACCTAAAGGCAGAGCCCAGGGGTCAGCTCCATCTATTGGGCAGCACTGTTCAGCTACAGGACATGAAGTATTCACAACACACACTAATTGGGACACGTCACCTGGCTTTCCTGGTACTGTGTTTTTTCAACCATAAAATGAGAAAATAAAACTCCTTGACCTTTAAGACTCCTCCCTGTTTGTCTACAACTTTTGAATAACACATGATACAATATGAGCATAGGATGATGATGACAGAGTATCTAGAATATTTTGTGAGAACTTGCCATATAGGCTGCAGACTCTTATCAAAACAATATACTTTGTATGGACTGCTTTATTTAGTTCTTATTATCATCCTGATTTTATAGCATAGAGAATTCAGGCACCGATAGGCTAAATAACTTGGACAAGGCCAATACCACACTCAGGATTTGAACACAGCAGTCTGGTGTTGTCACACTTCCTTCAAGAAAGCTACATGCATAAGGTTAAATGGTTGGGAAATCAGGAAGTACACACGGAGACTAAGCTGAGGAGGCTTCAACTTGTTGGACAGCAGAATTGCTCAGGGAAATGAATGAAAGAGAGGGAACATCTGCCTTAAGGAGGAAGATGTGCGGGCATGTGCCCAGAGAGCGGAGAGGAACCACAGCCCTCTTTTTCTTCTGCTTTCTGAGCAGTTGACCTTCCTCAAGAATAAGAAATCATTAGCTTGAGCTCTCTCTACAGCAAGGAGCCATCTTCCTGGTCTACTCTTGGGGGAAGCTGCTTCTGCTTCCCTTTGTGCACTTAAAATTGCCTTTCCAAATCCACAGATCTAGGAAATAGACCTTCCTGTTTCCCCTGGTCTTTCTGGGCTGCTCTCTGCTAGCTCCTTGAGCTCAGGCATCTCTTGGGACAAGACTGCTTCCAGAATCAGGGGTTGTTGTGCAGGGCCCAGATGATGCCAGTCTTGACCTTGCCCTCTCTCCACCTTTGTACTCCCTGCAGGCCACAGAGTTGTTCACTGAGATCAAGGATGCCCTCGTCCTGTACCTCAAAAAGCTTCCCTGGATAAGTGAAGAGACCCGGAAAGAGGCCCTGGACAGGGTAAAACTAGGAGTGCGGGCCAATGTGGATATGTTTAGAGGGTAGAGAGCACTGGATCAAGAGACAGTGATAGAAGAGAGCCCCCCTCCCCCCAAAAAAGAGCCACATTATACACACATCCCAGAAGATGGTATTGAGGGCTCTGAGAGACTCATGGCGAGTACTAGGTTAGTACCACCTTTGTGTCTCCTCAGGTCACCCAACTGAAGGTGGAGATGGGGGCCCCCCAATGGGCGCTGAAGCCAGAAGTGGCCAACCAGGAATACAGTGATGTGGGTGCTTGCCCTTTCTGCTTCTCTACCACCTTGACTTTTTGCCTCCCTGCCTATGGATGTTTGGCTAACCAACCTCTTTCTTGTCTTGTCAGAGAAGACTGACCCCTGCTTGTGCGTGCACACACACCTTTTCTCTGTGACATGCCTATGTGTATTTATCTGGCTGCTGCTGCACTTGAAGAGCAACTACATTGTGTTATGTTATGATTGTCACCTCCAGTAATCTGTGGCTGTTTGTGTGTAAGAGCCTATGTGCCCATCTGTATCCGTTTCTGAGAATCTAAGTCACCTCCTGCCTTCTCCTCAGATACAAATCGGACCCAGCTTCCTGCAATCTTTACTGAGCTCTGTCCGGTCTCTTCAGGCTAGAAATGTCCAGAGTTTGTTGCAGCCTTTCTCCTCCCACAGGTATGAATGCAAGGGAGACGGACACTCCCTCCCAGAGATAGCCCATCGTTAACAAATAGGAAAGGGACAGGAGCTCTGATCCTGGTTAGGGGAGACTGTGTATATGTTGATATACATATGTGAATGATAGAGCTATGCCTGTGTGTGCTCTCCCCACAGATGGCAAGTGTCTCCCTGGGCAGTCAATGCTTATTATTCCAGAACTGACCACGTGCTGGTCTTCCCAGCTGGCCTTCTCCAACCTCCCTTCTTCCACCCTGACTACCCAAGGTATGGCCATTCAATGAGGGTTTCTCAAGAAGACTCACATGTTAGAAAGGATGGGATTGGTGGTTAGAGAGCTGGGGTAAAACACTGTCGACGGATGCTAGAGGTAAGACAGGCTCTTGTTCCCTAGAGCGGTGAACTTTGGCGCTGCTGGCATCATCATGGCCCACAAGCTCCTGAACATCTCCCACCAGCTCTGTGGGTAATGGGGCCACTGGGAAGTGGGAAACACAGGGAACCCAAGGGAGGATCTCAAAGGAGGTTATAGAGGGAAGAGGAAGATTATTCAAGGCCTCTCCAGGTGGGGCAGTGTTCCTGGGAGCTCTATCAGTCTGGGGTACTTTTCCATGTCTTCCCCCACCCCATTCCCTACCCCCGTCCTCTACCAGTTCATTCTGATTCATTTTCAACAGTACTCCCTGGAGGCTTCCAAGCCTGTGACCCCCATGCCCTACAGGAGGTGCTCCTGTGCTTGGAGAACCATTATGCCGCCTTCCCGCTTTCCATCAGACCTTCCTTCAACAGCTGCCACCCTCTCCTGGAGAATACTGCTGATATGGTTGGACTGGCCATTGCTTTGCAGGTGTGTCAGTGACCGTGACCCATTTTAGCCAGCAGACTAGAAACTGTCCTCAGCTTCACCTTCCACGATCCCCTGGGCCCAACCTGGTTGTGTCTCTTTCTGCCTTTCCTATCCCCTCTGAGAGATCCCTCAGCTACTCTGTAGATCCTGACGAGTCCCTCTTTCTTCTGGCTCTGACCGGGGTGTCAGTACATTGCTGAAGAAGGCCCATGACCTGGTTTGGGGTACTGGGTAGCAGGCATTCCCAATGTTCATGGGTCTGAAGCTTAAAGGCAAGTCTCCATCTCATCCTCTTGTGCAGGCTTACAGCAAGAGGCTTTTACTGTACCGTGGGGAGACCACCCTGCCTGGCAAGGCCTTCACCCCACACCAGCTCTTCTTCCGAAGCTATGCCCAGGTATGCAACTGCTACCTCCCCTCCCCTGCAACTTTCTTCAGTAAATCCCTTATCACTGGTGCTTATGGTAGTGTATCTCTAACATACCCTGCCCACATAACCCCACCTGTCACCCCCTTTGGAGCCAGCCTGCACACCATGACAAGTACTTCAACCCAACTCGTCACTTGTGCCCTCCCTGCCTCCCAAATTAAGAAGAAAAAAATTTCTCTACTTCCGAATCCTGCCATGAGAGAAGGCCAGCTGTTTTCTCCTCTGGCACCTCAGAAACAGGTTCCTACTAACAGGTTGATAATTAAATTCCTCCTCAGAGATCTCACCCCCAGGAGTGGTTCCAAGTCGACAGAACTCATTTCGGAGCCTTGTACCCCTTGCTTCAGCTCCTTAACACAATTCCCTCATGGGACTTCTCCATTAGACTACAGATCAGGGCTTTTATGAATGGTGGAATTACACTCTTCAGGCCTTCCCCACTCCCAGTGCTAGATTAAATGATGCACATGTGAAGACTTCTCCTTGGACATCTATTTCTGCTCCCCGTGGAGGCCTCTTTGTCCCCAGTGTCTGTCCTGCACTGTCAATCTTACCTTCCTCCTCAGGTGATGTGTGAAGAGCTCAATGCTCAGGACGCTCGGGACACTCATAGCCCCCCCAGTCTTCGAGTCAACGGACCCCTCAGCAACCACCCGGCCTTTGCCAGTAATTTCCATTGTCCGCACGGTACCCCCATGAACCCCTCCAGCCACTGCCAGTTCTGGTAACTCGACTATCCAAGAAACCACAAGCACCTGCACACACCTGTCAGGTCGTAACCAGGGAGTCGGAGACATACTTTCTTTCCTCTTCAATAAAAGCTGGCACTTGGCATCTGCCATCTCTTAATGGTCTTTCCTGTTATGTTCTATTCCTAGAAGTCAGAAAAGATAAGAGGGAAATGTGCCAAGAAGGGCTCCATGGGCACAGGTGGAAAAAAAAAAGAACCAAGGATTGATGAGCCGGTGGGTCTGAAGGTCAGTTAGTGAGCCAAAGGCCAGGCAATTAAACAGAACAAGTTAGAGACCCAAGGGTTTACACTAAATCTCAGAAAGCTATCTCTTTTTCTTTTCAGAATTGTATTGCTATTTAATTGTTGCTGTCTCTTCTCACTAATCTGTTGTTTTGGACAAAGCTGGTCTGGTGTCTCTGGCCGTGGGACAGGGAGCTCTGGGTGGGGACAGCAATCAAGCAGTGGCAATGGCGGCTGTTTCTGCTGTGGCATCTTGGGGCCAGGTGCTTCATCCAAGAGGCAGGGAGGGAGGTGTAAGTCCTTCAGGGGAGGGGGTCATGGCCTGGAGCCCATCCAGGAAAGGAGAGTCAGTAAGCCATCATGAAGCGGAGATAGACATCGAGGTCCTCATTTAGGAGCCAAGCCACCACCTCAGCCTCAATTTCTCTTATAAAAAAACCATGATGCTGGCCAGATTAAAGCAGAAGGCTAGATTGAAGAGGTGGTCTCGAACAGCTGCTGTTTTTGAGATTGTGTCTTCCTCTTGCTGGGCCATATCTATCATCTGCCACAGCTCACCCACAGAGGAAGCCACAAAATGCTCTTCGAACTGTTCTTGGTCTTGTTCTGGAAATAGGGAGAGGAACAAGGATAGGCAGTCCCAATCCTGACCTGCCCAGACCAGAATGGGGAAGTAGTAAAGGTCTTAAGGGAACATGAAGGATGATGTGTTCTGCTACATCTTTGACCTTGATCAGAGGTCAAAGATGCTCCATCCAGAGGTCTTTTCTGATCTCAGTTCAACCACAACCCAAACACATACAGACACCTGCTTCTAACACTAGTTGCCTCTTCCAAAGGGTTCCACTAATGTGGGGACCGAGGGACATTTTCAAGCAACCAAAAGACCCTCCTGCTAGACAAACACATTCGTGCCCACCCCTCAGAAGCTGCATGCAATGACAGGTAACCCAAGGTGTGCTCTGCACAAGAACACTTGCTCCAGACATTTCACACTTGGAGAGAAGGGAGCTGGAGTACCTCTCACTGTACAAACCATCCCATGTCTCTCCTCGTGTCTCATTAGCTGCTAGGGCTTGACCTCAAACAGATCTGATCCTTACCTCCTCCAATCTCTGTCTCCCTCTTCTCCACCTACCTGCAGAGGGCATGTTCTCTTTCTGGCTCCTGCCATCGGGGTCTGGGCTGCCCTTCTGAGGCTTCGCCGCCTTCAACCACAGCAGCAGCAAGATGGCTACCAGGAATGCTGCCCTGCAGAGCTGGGAGCCCAGGGAAGTCATGGGCCTGCCCACCCACCTGTTGTCTCTGGCCCCCAGGCCCCCAGTGCCTAGCAGACTCCCTCCCCACCTCCCTCCCTGCCCCTGTCCCCGACCTTACCCCTTCCCAGTGGTGCTTTCTCCTCTTCTCTTCCATAGGACCACTGACTTCATGTGCTCTATGACATCACAGCCATGCTGTGACCCCTCATTCCGACTCACTACGGCATTCCACGGCCAGGCAGGAGAATGAGCAGTAGCCAGTAGTGGATGGTGGAAGTTTTTAGGAAGATGAAAACTAGAAGAATTTAAGAACTTGCAAAAGACCTGTACATCCAGTTTAGTGTTAGCTTCACATAGCCACTGGCATTCCAAAATCAACAGTATTCTCATACCTATTATACCGATGAGGAGATGGAGATCCACAAAAGGAAAGATTCTCCTGCTAAAGAGGATGTCATTTGCCAAGGATAGGGTGAAGCACCAGAAGGAAAGAAAAGGCACAGACTTTGTGTAATCATGAGAAAGAGAAGAGAGGAGCGTGGGGTGGGGGGTGAAGAAGGGAGGGAGCGTGAGTGAGAACAGACACAGACAGATACACAGAGTGCATGTTCAGGGGCAGAGAGCAGATGTTTTACCCCCAAGCAGAAGCTGTTTTCTCCTCATCCTTCCCTAGTGCTTCCCCTTTCCTGTTCTAGCCTTTGCCGTCCTGTCTCTTCCAATCAAAATACTTTCCCCTCTTATTTCATGCCTTCCTGTACTCCAATACACAGGGGAAAAAAGTGGTTACAGACACATCTCCAAGAGACAAAATAGTGCAGGAAATCAAGAACCTAAACCCTAAATGATGGAGCTGTAGAAGGTCCACGCCAGTCCCTTAATACCCATGCTGCCATAAGCCTGGTGAGCATTGGCTCATTAGCTTCCTGGCAGAGATGGAAGGTTGTGATTTGGGGGGCAGGATGAAGGGTCTTCCAGGGAAAACCGGAAGCAGCGGTACAGACCAAGAGGGTCAGCTTGGCTGCTAGGGATGGGAGGAGACTCAAACCAGCTCTGCTTTCTGTGTATACCGTGTCTGAAGGAAACACACAAATATAGGGGCAAGGGTGTGTGCAGAAACATGGACCCTTCCCAAAAGAGGGAATTAGGAAAAGTGCATGATGTTGAGATTCCTTCCCACAGAGTTTACCCATGCTAGCTGGCATGCTCACAAGGGGGCCAGCCCACATACAGCAGAAGGCACCTTTTACTTCCGTATGAGCCAAATCAGGTGACAGGGGACTTGGGAGTGGTACAGGAGGGGTACTTAGGGTGGGGGAGGAAGGACTCAAGTAGCTGGTGACCTTCCTTACCCTACCTTGCACTCATTGACCTGCAGATCCAAAGAACAAGCCGCTTACATGGAAAAAACTACAATCACTAATCTCCTCCTGGCTATTTTAGGGGGAGGAGCCTTGGTTCCCTGGCAGGTGGAGAGGCCAGCTCTGTAGGTATGAATGGGTAGGGCAGACACAGGAGGTATAGGCCAGAATGGAAAGGACCAGTCTGGACTGACACCCTCGTTAACTTCCACCTCCTCTCCATTCACCTGCTTGGTTCCTAGAGTGTCCTACTAGGTAGATCTTTGCAGGGACCAGTAATTCCTTAACACATCCCTCCTCCCTTATTATAAAAGCATAAAGTATTTTTAAAGTATCCTAAGAAACAAAAACCTTAATTTCCACCACCTACACAATGATCATGGCTACTCATGTAGGATTAAAATGAAATGTGGCAATCTCTTTCCTAGATGTCTGGGGAGATGTGGAGTGACCGTGTAACAATCAGAATGTCTCCTCCTCCTTGGTTCTATGTCAGAGTAAGAGTCAAACTGAAAGGTCTCTGGGGCCTGAAGGCTGAGCCAGGGGCCTCATCCCCCTCCCCACCCACCCCCTCCTGCCCCAGCAGAGAGAGCCTGAGCAACATCATGAACCTCCTGTGGAAGACAGGCTGTAGGTGTGCTTGCTGTGGAAAGTGGAGGAGAACTGAGTTGAGGGAGAGAGAGGAGATGAAAAGAAAGCAGGAAGAGGATAGAAAAGATCAACAAGATGAGAGAGAGGCAGAGAGAAAAGTCAGAGGGGGAAGAGGGGGGTGCAAACCTCCGTTCTAACAAGTTGTTTCCCCTACAGGTTCCTTGTGTCTGCCCTGCTGGGAAGGACTGAACACCCAGGAATGGGGGGGGGGGCTCTGAACATTAGTCCTTCCTGGACCCAGGGAGGCTAACCCCACACGCCGGCTCTGTGCGGCTCTGACCAGGCCAACCTCTTTCACCGCAGTCCCTCCCCGCCCCACCCCCCTGGAGGATCAGCTTTATGGGTTGGCAAGGGCTCCTTTCCCCGACCTGTGGGGCTTATCAAGGCATCTACAACCCCCACCTCAACTTTATCACTCCCTCCATCTCCTTAGACTGCAAGTCCCCAGGCTTCAGAGACCAACCTCCCAGTGAGGCAGAAAAATGTCTCACAAGGTGACCCCCTCCCCCCACCCCTCCCTGTCTCAGGCACCTCCTCTTCTTTTCCTTGGCTTATTTATTTTCTCTTCAATTCTTGTCCTTCTCCAAAGGTTATATTTTTGTTTACCCCTCCTTCAATTTTCACAGGGGAGGCCCCAAGAAGACCCCAGAGGAAGATTCCCCACATATCCCAAACAAGTCCTTCCTCTTGCTGGCCAGAAATTTCACAAGCTGTCACAAGGTCTGGAGAGTGGTTTACTGGAAGCTGAGATGGCACAAGTCAACACCAGATCATTGTGCCTCTGGTCCCCAAGTTGGGGGGCGGGTGATCAAGTTCCCTCTCGGAGCATAGCCTTCTCACTCAGAAATCAGAGGACTTTTCTTGCATGATTTCTATATGATCACTGACTATATGCTGCTTTGAAAACAATCAGAAGGAGACACAGGAGCCATTCACGTGATAACATCACACGAGTGTCTTATTACTCATTCCTCTTGCTATCTTATTCCTGGACAGGGTCCCAAGATTTCTTTGCCTCCAGCAAAACACAGGGCCCTGTGGGGGAATCCCCTGTGGTACACATCCCTGGAGACCTGACAGTTGGTGCTTCTCTGGGCAAGGGTGGAGGAGTCCTCAGAGAGAGGGATAGCCTGGAAGGTAGAACCCTTCTTGGGACTGAGATCCCCGGTGTAGCTTTGAGGGAAGCAATCGGCGGGGTCTTTTGAAGGAGACCATGGTGCCTTACGAACACCTCCATGTGACAATTGCTAGCCCTATGGCAGAGGGGAGGAGATGGAGGTTCAGAATACTCACCTGAACGTAAGAACCTGGAGTTAACCCAGGACCTGCCTGCTTCCTGAGCTAGAAGCCTTTATGGTGTCTGCTCCTGCATCCCGCTGTGGGAGCCCCCTCCCCCCTTCCAGGACTCTATCCTTCTCCAAATCCCTCAGCCCCACCCCCAGCCTCTCAGGTCTCAGTGGCCCAGCCCCTTGCCAAGAACCCAGAAGTTTCCTCCTCTTGGGCTCTGTGCCCCCAGGCTCAGCTCTGTGAAGGGCTCCACCCCTTCTCTGCTCTCCCCAGCTGGGAGGCTAGTCCTTCAGCACATGTGTGCACACTCACACCCACAACCACACTCAGCACACACAAGTGACACGAGAGAGATCCTCGGTTGGGTCTTTACCCCAGGTGGACCCTGCCTCCTCTCAGCTGTTGCCATTGGAGAGCTGCTCCTTTGATCAGATTCCCATCATCTGCCAGTGCTCACAAGAAGGCATGGGGGCCAAAAGGCCTTGGATTCAGCTCCAGAAACTTCTTAGCTGGTTGATTGGGGAACAAGACTGGGAACAGAACTTGGACAATCTCTACATGTTACAACAGAAGAGGTAAGTTTTGGAGGGTACTGGGACCCAAGCACTGATTTCTGATGGAGACTGAATCCCTGACAGAGTACCCTAGAACTCAGTGCTCTTAAATATACTCCTCCACCCCCTTCCCCATCATTATGATACCCTAGCCAGACCTTACTTAGTGAAGATGTAGCATAGGGCCTCTAGAGAGAGTTTGTGTATGGGAGGAAAAGTCAGGGGCAGGGCGGGGCAGAGTGACAGCTGAACCTACAAAGTGCTGTGAAGGTGGACAGCGAAGGGACCGAAAGAAATCAGAGGAAAGAGCCAGGTCACTTGATTGTGGCTTGCTGGGGAAGGGGTTCGATCTGGAAGTGACATGGAAGAGGGCCGAGTTCAATTCTGCCATTTATTAAGTACTATATATGGGACACACTAAGTCCCATGAACATGGGAACAAGTCTGTGTCTGCTCTCCGTGGCCTTTGGGTCAGGGAAGCTGGTGTGTCTCTAGGTCAATCATTCAATGGCTAAATGGGATCCAGGAAGAACAGCTTGAGAACAGGAGGCAGGGATTAGCCTTCAGGTGAGTGTTTGTGGATTAGCCTTCTCCTCAAATAGGGATGGAGTAAGCAGAAAGCCACATCAGATGTGGGCCTCTCTGTGACTCTGAAGGGCCTTGGACTTGGTTCTGTGGGCTGCTATCTCTGTCTTGAACATCCCAATAATGGTGAAAAGAACTCTGCTCATCACCAACCTCCAGCCCACACCCTGTGGTAGGACCTTTCACCTGCCTACCTCTTCCAGGAGAGTGGGACTGGGGTGGTCTCTGAGAGAGCTGGCGTCTGTTCCTACCCTTTGCAGAAAGGCAGTGCAGCTAAGGAGCGGGAGTGGGAGACAGTGGCTTTCTACCGTGACCTTAGGACAGAGCTCTGGATTCCAGTCCTGGCCACTCCAGGCTGGTCAGGGACACATAGCTCACCAGGACTGAACGCCCAAGGGAGATAGGGGAGGGATTGACCCCTCATTGTGCAAGTCTCTCCTGGGAGCATGACATGCTTTAAAAACAAACTGCTGTTCCGACTGGAAAACTTTCCACCTTGGCGCCTGTGGCCATTGAAAGCGAAGAATGGGGACAGCGAGGACTTTTGGGGAATCAAGTCTATCTCCTCCGCTCTCTCCTATGGCCTTCAACCTGCTAG